ACCTCACCTCCTCCTGATATAATATGAGGATTTTCCCCCCTCTATTGTTGTAATCTTCTCTCATGTTATACTCAGTTGTAACCATGTATGAAATCTTAATTTGTGAGCATTTATTAATATGAATAGAATATCTTTTATAAAAAAAGAACTTTTCATATTATCCTGCTTTCATCCCAATTAGCAAGTTTCTATAATAACAAAATCCCAATTCTCTCTCTTTAGTTCGTTGTTACTCTTTTAAATTCGTAGTTTTTTTTTTCAAATTCTCGTATGATCTGCTTATTATTCTTCTTCAAATTTGTAACATCCCAAACCTTTGCCGAAGTAAGATATTGTCCGCTTTGGGTCTCGACCCTCACGGTTTTCAACTTGGAGCGCAATTCAAGGTGACTTCCCATAAGGTCACACATCATTGTTGTACTCCACATTGAGCACACTTAACTTCAGAGTTCTCTCAAGAACTCCTCCATTTTACCCCCAAACGCTTCTTGTCATTTAAGATCAGTTTCTTACTTATAAACCAGGTATCTCTCTCGTTCTTTGTCGATGTGGGATTCGCCTAATGTGTTACAAAATCTCTCAACTCCTTTATCTGTTATTTTTTTACAACAAACTCCTCTATCATAGGGGTCGTTTGGAAGTTGTGATTGTTAGAATTGTATTGGTTGAATACATGTACTGTGCACTATACAATGTTTGGAAGTGTCAAAGTGTAAAACAAATAAACAATGCATGCATTGTTTTAGGTAGCTCCCACCAACAATCACAAAAAATGATATATTATACAATCTCAACTAAAAGTTGTGATTATTTTGATTGTTGCTTTTAGATTTGTGTCAACTTTTTCTTTCCATTTATATCCCTAATAATTTTTGTCTTGTACTAACAGTTGAGGGTAAATATGACATTTTCCCATAAAAGTAACTGTATGTAAATCAATGCATAAAGTAGAAACTCAACAACCAAACAATGTATTGTTGAAATGCATCTATTGTATCAATACATGCTTTTATATTATGGTGATTCATTACAATGCAACGATTTAACATTCGCAACTTCCAAACGACACCATATAAAAATAAAAAAATCGAGAATGTATAATAGATACATGGCTGGTTCCCACAATCAATGTTGTATTACATAATTATTAAAAAACAAAACTGGAAAAAGGAGTCAAATCATCCGCAGTACTGACTAGCTAACTGACCTCATAGCCCGCAATTAAAATACTCAACGAATTACTGGCAATTTTCAATAATAAGGAATCCTGGGCAGCCGTACAAGAGATTCTGGCTAGCTAGCTGGCTAGGGTTCTTCTCTGTAATTATTTTTTTAGCCTATCCCTTTCCCAGTAGTTATTACAGGTCGTTGAGAAACACCTTATATAGTCTTATACCAATGAGGGCGATGAATATTGAATAGTAATGGATCGTCATTATTATTATATTACAGAAAGAAAAAGAGAAGTGGGAAGAAAGTTGAAGCACGCTTCCTTACTTAGCTTGCGCGTATGTATTAATGGCGATGAGAGGAGTAGTGTATATGTGGTGTTGGTTACACAGTAAAAGTAGTGATGAGTCCTTCCTTTAGAGAAGGTGGCTGAGCTTGCCATAAACATACTTGTATTGTATCACATAAATACATACGCCGTTGCTGCTGCTGCAGCTAAATTTGCAGCCTTTTGCTTTCTATTAACTAGCTCTACCTATAAATAATATCATTATTGGCTATATGTATACCACCTAGCTAAAGCTCCATAAACTCTTTCTTCTGCAGGTTATATGTGTGTACACCACCTCCTAGCTATAATATTGACTGTCACAGTTGACAGTAGCAGTACTGCATAATTTTACTCTACCCTCTGCAACAACGTAACAAATCTGTGGACCAAGTTCCAAAAAGCCCGAAAACCAGCAAGTACAATAGTATATCAATAAATCCAAATCTCCAACTCTCCACATAATCACCAAGAGTAAGTACTAGAGCCAGAAAGAGCAGCAGAGGGACAAAAAAACTCGCTTGGCGGAAGGGATATATGAAAAGATCCAACTCAATCTCAGATTCTGCCACAAGCCCATAACTACTCTGGTAATATATGATCAAGAATGTCATTTTTTGCTGTAATCTTCCAGAATGTAATTTTAGCTGTTGATTTCTAATTAGCAAGTAATATAAAGATTCATAGCTATCTATCTAATTAGCAAGTAATATAAAGAATCTATTTGTCCTTTAATTTGACCCACATTTACTTCACGTTAGCGCTCCGGACCAGCTGAAATACTAGCTAGATCTCTTATGTTGGTGTTATATGCGTATTACCCAAAAACAATTTAATTAATTAGTATCTGCCACGAATTAAGTAAAACGGATCATGAATACTACAAATCTGCTAAAACACATAACCAATAATTCGTTTTCTGAAGAAACTAATTAAGACAGGGTAGAGAAATGATGAAAAACGACGATCGAAGAAAATTGATGATCATGATAGACACCACAAATCCAGCGATGAGTGATCATGTTTGACACCACAAGTGGAAACGGCTGAAGAAAGAAAAATTTAAGCGAGTACTGGATTTAACGTCAACGTGAAAGCTGCATTAGGAGACGTAATCAAGAAGAAAGAAAACAAAATCACCATCTCCTTGGTTATCTCCGCCGCAAACACGCACAAAGTTTACCGGAAAACACGACACCGTAAACATATATATGAACGAGAGAGAGAGAGCGCGCGCCAATAGTAGCAAGGAGAATCCGTAAAACTCAGGATGGATAGCGCCAAACACAACACGAAAACGAGTCGTGTTGCATGTCTTGGCGCTATCCCTCCTGAGCTTCATAGCTTCCCCCACGCTGATTCATTGAAAAACAAAAATAATGATGGCCTTTCTCCGAGGAAGGGAACTGCGGTGGGAGGTGAGAGATCGATGGTGGGGATATTCTAGTGGAAAGGAGACGGCCGGTTTATAAAGGCAGGAGGTGAGAGACTGCGGGAGGGAAACACAAGTTGTTGTGTTGTCACCCTTTTTTTGTAATTTTGCTATTGTGCTCACAATAAAAATGTACAATCATGGATGGAAGCAATGATAAATTATTAAAATTATAATCACTTCCATCTAACGATTGTGAAATGTTCAATATGCGATCTAATAGTTTGAAGCTTTGTGAGCAAATTGGGTTGCTCTTTATCAATCAGCAGAGATGAGTTGTAATATGGAGAGGTTGTTCATGACAGGCTAAGACTTTACTACTTTCTTTTTTGATGGTTAAGACTTTACTACTTTGTTCACAATAAACTCGTTCATCCTGAGTAAATATCTTAAATTTTGAGTTCTAAACGAAGGTGGTATCAAGGTTGTAACAGGGTGGTAACGCATGGTATGAGTGGTACGAAATTATTTTCTCGAAATATATTAAAAATTGATATAATTTTGTAGATGACAACGAACTTGTTCCATCTGTAAAAAAATTTGAAATTCAAGTTAGAACGACAAAGATAAAATCCAATTAATTAGAAATTTAGCGAAAATAAAAAGTCATTTTGTTCTCACCTTTAGATCTGATCTCATTTAAAATTAAGAGCTCATATATGGTTATGCAAGTATTATGCACCATAGAGTTATTGACTCTATATGGACTTTTTTATGGTTACCTTGGTTCTCTTGTTTCCTTCTTCAATTTGGAATATTTACTGTTCTTTTGGGGTTTTTTGTTATCGGTATTTCTTGTTTTATTTTGGAATTTGTGTTTTCTAACTCAAATAAGAACAAACATAGAATTGTTCAAGGTTGATGAGTTGTTCCCTCGTTGGTCAATGAAATAATTTGTAGTACTTTAATGTTAATTGCATTTTTCATCGTCTAGCTAGTATGTACTTTTTTGAACAAGTACATCATGTACTATGTCAGAAATTTTGTCATATATATACTAACAAGAAACACAACAATTAGATACAACTTTTTTTTATTGTTAAATCAAAGTTGACAGTAAACCTAAGTAAATCACCTGGAACAGTTTTACAACCTGCATTTATGTAAAAAGAAAAAAAAACTCAAACAACATGTTTAAATTTCACATATAATGTATAATAAAAATCTATTTACCACCCCAATATGAGATTTTTTTTCTGAAATAACACTATTTACAAAAATATTTACAAAAATAACACCCAATGCTGAATATTTACAAAAATAGCACCCTTTCACAAAACCTAATAACACTATTTAAAAAAATTTACAAAAATAACACCCAATGCTGAAAATTTACAAAAATAACACCATTTCACAAAAACCACCGGGTGGGAGCACGGTTTTCGTTGAAAACTGCTTAGGTCTGTCTCACCAGGAGGAAAGGTTGGGTAGATGAAACCAATCAAAACCATGGTCCATGAAACCGTACCGTATCGGTGGTTTAACCACGAAATACCAGTATCAGAGGCTAAATCGGTAGACGATATTTAACGATCTAACGGTTGAACTATGGTTCAACCACGGTTTATCATAAAATATCACACTGCTGACTTTCCCGGTACGGTTTCATGGACCATCATCAAAACAAAGAAAAAAACAGAGGTGAAAAAAAGGAAAAAGAAACAAGCTCAGATGCACTCACATTTCGTCCAAATGGACCATCATCAAAACAAAGAAAAAAACAGAGGTGAAAAAAAGGAAAAAGAAACAAGCTCAGATGCACTCACATTTCGTCCAAATATCAGACAATAGTAAGAAAAAAACAGAGGTGAAAAAAAGGAAAAAGAAACAAGCTCAGATGCACTCACATTTCGTCCAAATATCAGACAATAGTGAGAGGACCTCTCTCATGAAGAGCGCAAGATTCATCATAGCTTGATCAGTAGTGCACCAGCCGGGAATCGAACCCGGGTCTGTACCGTGGCAGGGTACTATTCTACCACTAGACCACTGGTGCTTCTGTGCTCAATTACCCTCGCTTGATCTTAAAAACGTATGGTATGCCTATTTCATATCCCAATCTCGGCCACAAATCCATCAGAGCATCCTGTAAAACCAGTAGGGGAGAGAGAGAGAGCTAAACAAGCCGGAGCTCTTGGGCGAGCTGAGAGAGAGTTGAAGCGGGAAAATGGCGACTCCCATTTTCAAGGCATCAGTTCCTCACTCCAATCCACTGTTACACTCCTTGCTTCCACTTCTATGGACTGGAACTGTAAATTCAGTTCCAAAGAAGAACAATCTGCTGCTGCTTCCGCTTCGGGCTTCATCGGAACTCAACTCTCTCCGGTCAGCTGCTTTTCTCGTTATCCGCTTTTCCATTGCTCCAACCTGAATTTCCTTTCTCGTCTTCCTATCTATCTTGCTTCCCACGCTCACTTGGTTGAGTGGGAAAACGAATTACCCCCGGAGCTGCCACACAATCGGTTACCGTGAAAACGAGTGAACACTTCCATAACAAGTGATTCGAATTCGCTGTCCACTATAACCAAATTGTCTGGTTTAGTTTTTCTTTTATCTTGGGATATTAATCAGAATTTTTTCTAAGGGCGGAAAGGAGTAGGTCACTCTGGGATTTGAATTCAGGTTACGTCCTGATGAAACGTATCAATGGGATTTGCAGGTCAGAGGTGTCGCTCTGTGTTGGAAGTCACCTCATTCCACATCCCAACAAGGTAGACAGTGGTAGTAAATTTTGCTCCAGTCCGTTCGACATTGGCCGATTCTCTTCTTGTGCCCTCATACGAGCTCTTTTCATAGGTTGAAAAAGGTGGGGAAGATGCATTTTTCACAAGTAGCTATAGTGGTGGAGTACTAGCCATTGCTGATGGTGTCTCAGGGTAACCTAAGTAAAACTAACTAGTTGCACCGTTCTCGTCCTGCTATTGCTGGAAGTTGATATGCTTTGTTAGTTTCAGTAACTTGCAAGCCAATTGTTATTGCTTTTCAGTTGGGCTGAAGAGGATGTGGATCCTGCGCTTTTTTCTCGGGAACTGATTGCAAATGCTTCTGGTTTTGTGCCAGACGAGGAGGTAGCATTAGCATTAGCATTGCAGTAGTGTGTTGGAAAGTTACTAGATAGATTTAGTGGCTGAATGCTTGTTGCCTTTTGGTTCTAACACTTCTTGAGGCATTTGTTTCTAACTAGAGCAGGTCAACTATGATCCGCAAGTTCTCATCAGAAAAGCGCATGCTGCTACCTCCTCAATCGGCTCAGCTACCGTGTATAAGTCTTAGTTTTCGTCTGCGTTGCTGCAGCTTTATTTTTCCAAAGGCACCCACACGTGCATTACGTGTCATAACCATTCTTTACTCATTTAGGATTGTGGCTATGCTGGAGAGAAATGGAACGCTGAAGATTGCGAATGTCGGGGATTGTGGACTAAAGCTTATCCGTGAAGGTAGTAATCTTGATTCTGAGGTTGGTGTTCCCCCTGTGATTCTTTTTCACATCCGTTGCCCTTTTGTCATTCATTTGTTCTGCACAATTAAGGGCGCATCGCGCGATTTATTTTAATTACAGGACAGATAATATTCTCCACTACTCCACAAGAACACTATTTTGATTGTCCGTACCAACTGAGTTCAGAAACTGTCGGCCAGACATATCTTGATGCTATGGTATGTTCATTCATATTACTGCAGCAACAATCTTTCGAGTTTTTATGTTTAGATGATGTCGACAAACTTTCTCATTGTCTACATTTGATCCCTTCTTAAAGGTTAGCAGTCTGGAAGCGATCGAGGGGGATATCATTGTGATGGGTTCAGATGGTCTTTTCGACAATGTTTTTGATCATGAGATTGTTTCGACAATTGGCCAACATAGAAATGTTAGTGATGCTGGTAAGTCATCTTATGTCTAGACGTTACTTTCTTGCCTCTCTTTTTACTAATTGCCTTTCGTAACTTTGACCACTGCAATGGTAGCAAAGGTTCTGGCTAACTTGGCAAGAGTTCATTCACTGGATTCGAGCTACGATTCACCCTATGCATTGGAAGCCAGGTCCAAGGTGAGCATTAATTAAACTTCTCAAATTCATTCGCATCTATATCCATAGTTGACCCCTATCTATAATGTTGAAGCATTTCATCTTTTCGATGAATTAATTCTCTTGGCAGGGTATTGAGCCCCCGTGGTGGAAAAAGATCATTGGCATGCAACTCACAGGCATGGCAGACACCTTTTCTTTGTCATTTTCCCTCTCTTCTAGCCCGTAGCTGGTCTTTGAAACATAGCAGAAATGGTTAATTAGCTGCTTCCTTTTGTGGGCAGGTGGAAAGCTTGACGATATTACTGTGATAGTCGCCCAGATTGTAAGTTCGTTATAGATGAGGGATCTTGGATTGGGAAAAAACAGAACTCAGGGATGAACCTCAATCTTAATGTTGCTGTACAGAATGCCAAACTTGTGCACTTCATCATAGTGGGAGCAATACGCTTCGAGCAAATTACTTCAGTTTCTAGTTGGATTTGATTCCAGTTACTGACTTCTCAATATTCAGCTCAATAACATTCATTAGCGATCTGGCAAACCTGTTTGTATGCTAATTGCTAACAACAATTGAGCATGGGATGAAGTTCTGTAATTGATGGCATTGAAGCATTTCATTTCAATAGATAATCAAATTCGATAGCATTTGCAACTTCCTAAAGGAAAAAATCTGCATTTCAAACTGAAAATCCTCGCACTCTTTATTGTTCTACATGCTCCAGTCAAAGCCAGTATACAAGCCTTGCAAACTTCGAGAATCAACGATTACAAGAAACACAACTACCAACTCAAACTTTGATAGATAAGAACATCCCCGAAAGGTCAAAACTTATGCAGGGCTAAATAGAAAATGCAGATTGATGATACATGGAGCTTTCACCCGGTCCATAAACCTGGAAAATGAAGAAATCAATAGGATTATTACCTGGGCGTGTACAACATTAATTAACTCTAATCTCGATCTCATAAAAAATAATCCCTAAGTCTCATCAAATTGATTTGTGATTACTTTGTTTCTGGCTATAATTGCCTCCTCTGAGGGACAATCACGTATGTCTGGATGACTAGCCTCTGTTGCTGAAGCCTAAGGTATCAAACTCTGATTCCATCCATGACTTCTCTCCATAACACCGTTCAGGTGATAGTACCACTGCTATTACCACTATCATTGAGCTCCTGGAAGAAGTTTTTGGAGGCTTCGTAGGTAGACCAGCATATTGCGGCTGCAGGTGCATGGAAAAGCATCCTTGGAGCCCAGCCCCTCAGTAGCCCTCTGTACCCATCCTTTTTAACAATTGTTTTGAACACATCACTTATTGAACCGCTCTTGAATCTGTCACAACCGCAAACACCCTGCAGCCCACAACTCTAGTTAGTTAGCCGCTATTTGCATTGATTCTATCATACAACAGAGCACGAGAATGCAAGGAAACAATTACAGGTGATACTAATTAGTGTGTTGATCTTTCATTTCTTCCCATGCACAAGTAATGCAGCACTTGACCTAACATATTCCCATGAAAGATGAAGTATAGATCATATAGGTAAAACATAAATTTCCTTTGTTCAAGGAAACATAAAAAGGGCCTGGGAAACTAGTAGTGATTAAGCATGTCAGTCTATTCAAAGGCAGCAAACCAGAGAAACTTGACTAAGCTATACCATCCCCCATGAACAATGAGAATGAAGCTACAAACTTTCCATCTAGTTCTTATTAGAGAAGGGGAAAATCAATAGTTAACTATAACAAAACCTACCTATTATTAGTCCAGGAAAGTGGGAATAGAAGAGTACAAAGGGTTGCTACCAGACAGGTGCAAGAAAATCATGAAGGCCTCCAAACTGCATTGGTCAATGCGCACCAGTTTCTATACAAACATGTTGAGCAGATGATATCATCTGCTATGGCCAACAGTTTCCACTCTCTAAAACCTCAGCAATTTTGCGTTCTTCCTACCTACGTTCAATCAACTATCTCAAGCATCCTTATGTCAGGTAGTACATTTCCCATACCAAGTCTAAAATGTGTTCATTAAACTTTGTTGACCCAGTGGCCCAACTTAAATATGTTGGGGGAAACTGAAAAACAACTGATGACAACGTGAAGGCAAAAGTTTTCCGCACAGACAATCATTGGCACCAAAAGCCAACGCACATAAAGCAGCAAAGCATCAGACTGAAGTTTCCACGTACAAACTACAAATAGAAGGAGAAGAAGTTGATGAACCATGAACCGGCATAAAAGGAAGTGCCTCCTTTCGACCACTTACACCCAAGATTACAGTCACAGACTCGCAGCAGAAATAAGACAAGCGCATGAAGTGATATAGAGCGAGTATCAGATCCTATCTATGACAGCCATGTCACTGATTAGCAAATACTACATCTCTGGCATAATTCTGACCTCTATTCCATGCAATGAAGCATCCCATGTTTTTCCTACACCTAATTGCTTTATAATTATGAAAATAACTCCTAAAATCAAATAGCACAACTTACCTGACATTGCAATTGAGTCTTAACCACATCAAGTGGAGTGGTGACGACAGCTGCTAGTGCGCCAGCAACAGCTCCAGCAGTGGCATGGACAATCAAGCTTTCATCGTTACCACTATCCAGCGAAATCTCTGCCAAACCTTTCTTCGCAGCCTCGTAGGTGGCAAAATGTACAGCCGTGAAAGGGGCATTCATCAAAACTGTAGTCCTATACGATGCATAGAAAGCACCAATACCCTCTTCTCTAAACACCCTCTTCACGCAATCCCAAACTCCCCTGTACACAGTGTTATTCCCCAGCTGCAATCTCTGCTTCACCATATCCATGGGAGTGAAAACGGCGTCGCTTGCAACGGTAGCACACACTCCGGAAGCAGCATGAGCTAGTGAATTGTTCGGATTATTCCCAGAAAACCGCTTCTTACACGTCTCATAGACCGAGAAATAAACCGCGTGGGCAGGCCCGGCCCCGAGACCCATTGCAGCAATCCCGCGGTAGAGTCCGGCGGTACCCTCAGACTTCACAATGGAACGGAAAGCGTGAGAGATGCTTACGGACTTGATTGGGCAGGACCCAATTGCCTGCATGTGTGTCTTTATTGTATCGACTGGAAACATGGCCATGTGCTCTACCATACCGGCTATGGAGCCGGCGATCATAAACTGCCAGAAATAAAGGCCGTCGTGGGCTTTCACCAAAAGCTCGGGATGCAAACCAGGGGGCTGAGGAACTGGTCTGAAATCTGGGCCCTGGAAATCAGCGGTGGCGGTGGCTTCGGTGGCCATGAGAAGAGAATAGAGAAGTTCAGCGGAGCGGAATCAGAACTGAGCACAGGGTTTTCAACTGCGTTTTGGAGAAGAGTAGTGACCCTTCTCACATGAAGGAATAGTCGGGGACCAGAGAAATGTAGAGCGAAGAGGCGCAAGGAAAAGGATCAAGACCTTCCTTTTACCTAATTGGGATAAATCCTTTCGTTTGCCGCTTCCGCAAGTTTTAGGGTTCCAAGAATGGAGGAGAAGGACTCGTCAACTGGAGACGCTTGTAAGTCCGGATTCGATTTGGAGAATACAGCTCTTTTTCTCCCCCTTTCTGCAATTCTTCTAATTAAATCTTAAATTAGGGTTCCATACCGAAAACGGGTAGAGGTAGAACGATTAATCGGATTTACTACAGCAACCGACCCGGCCCGTCGTACCTCTTCATAAGAACTAGCTTTATATGAATTAACTTATCTATATGTTTAAATCATTTTGGATCTTTTAAATATTTTGTGTTGATTCATAACAGAGTTTGTAGTATGTCTATATCGAAAATTTTCAATATATAGCACACACACTTCTGATGCTTTGGGTTTCTAATCATAAATTATGTCGCTGTCACGTCTCATTTAGAACTTATATCAAAATTTGTCAACCAAAACACTAATATTTAGTGTACGCCAACCTAACCACACACACATACATATAATTCAAGCTAGCGTGCGCCAGGAGTACGCTATACTCTTGCGTTCACACTACCATACGACCATAGAGTTTTACTACTTAGACCCCGAATTAACCGGAGTTTTTTAGGGCAAATGATACTATACCCTAACCTCTAATAGGTGAACTCCAATCCCTAATTCTCTAACCTCTAATTTATGCACATACTTTGTCATACCTATATTCTATCGTATCTTGAGTAAAATCAAAAGTATAGTATACCTTGATATTATATATATATATATATATATATATATATATATATATATATATATATATATATATATATGTGTGTGTGTAGTAGTAGACTCAAAATTATCAAGATACTTTGCCATACCTATCTTATTTCCCCTAATACTCATATTATAAGTGCTGCTTGCCTATCTCCCACCCTCGGGATAGAGATCTCGCTTTTACCCCCATAATGTCAGACAACCATTGGGGTTGTCTATCGTTCGATATGTAATATATAATAAGGAAAATCCTAAAATCCTGATATTTATTTCTTATCCTCTCCCGTCGCTCCTTTTATGCGGAATAAAAGGGTAGGAATGATAGGATCATAGCTCGCTATGGTTTTATTCTGTTCATCGTACAGAAGTTATGTTATTTTTGATTTTTTTGGCTTATTTTCATTCTTCTTTGGCACTTATGGTTGTGATCAGAGATATTTAGCCCCCGAAAGGGATTGAGATTTTAGGTCCTTTGGAAATCCAATACACATTCATGATCCTCGAGTTTGACGAACTTTTGACCAATAGTGTAAAGATTAGGATTTTTTAGTGAGAAATTCTTAGTAAAGATACTTCATTATTGGATCAATTTATTCATTCATATTCAAACTTGACACACACCATAGCCCTCATGATGATTAAATTCTCTAATCTCGACTCATTTCCATGTTGGATGTTAGTTTTTTTTTTATCAAGATACTTAAATTTGGTATATTATACAATATGTATCAATTGTTAATTTTTGAAGTTTAGACGAAACCTTCACCCGTGGTCATTGTTAATGTTGGCTTAGAATCTCAAACTAAGACACTCACACACAATATCGATGATTTTGGTCTTAACATGGTCGTTGAATGTGTAATTTTCAAAGATTTTATCACTTATGTATTAATAATAGATAAAGAGTGTCTACAATAAACACATATTTCAAGTGCATTTAAAATGTCTTATCATTTGAACAATATCGGTGGATTTCATTTGATTATTTGCACTAAGTTATTATCTTATACAACATATATCAATTTGTGTTGTTCGAGTTTGGACGAACTGGCAACCAATTTTGAGAGTTGAGATTATTGGATAAAGATACTTGATTGCTGGATAAATATGTTTATCCCAATTGACTATCTTACTAAAAATTGTGAACCTTTATTTGGCAAATGCCTAGGTTAGTAGTTGATGATACGTGATGTTTATCGTAGATTCTCAACAAAGATTCTCTAACCTCCACATATGTTATTTTTCAAAGAATCTTGTGTCTCATCCTAGGGTATGAAGTTAAAGTTCGTCAACAATCATACTTAAGTCATTTTGAAAATTTTGATTTTTAATCGTCGAGGATAACTCCATGTCTAAAAGAAAATTTTTTAGCATACGACTTAGAACCTCAATAGAGCTTGCTCAATCAACATGATATAGAAAGTACCACCAATGGATTTGAATATTTCGAATGACCAAACATGAAAGTTTTTTCTAATATCAGTGAGAAACCATGCAATTAACCAATAAAAGAACCTAACAAACTAGACGTCTAGACCCTTACATGGCTGGGAATTTAGACCAAACCGTATGACAAGCCGCGGTTTAGACCGTACCGTACGGTTTGGTCCGGACCGTTAGACCATGAATACAATTTGGTCTGGTCCATGGTTTGCCTCTTTGACTTGTGGTCTGGAACGGTTTGGTCTGGTATAGACCGTGGTTAACCGTCCAGACCGTGACAAAAATTAACTATACCATCTTACCATTAATGTTGTCTGCTGAACTTTGGAAGTGTAATTACTAAGTTTCCTTAATGGATACAGATGCAAAAATTCTTTCTGCACTCATACAAATTGAAGTTGAAAAGGGATACAGATGCATCCACAATCTCTTTGCTCAAATCTCGACCTGCTTTCAATGTCTAAACCATTTATATTAATTACTTATATTCTATTTAATTATATTCTTATCACACCTAATTTGTGCATATTGAGCGACCACAGCCCACAAGTTCTTTTATTTTAAAAATTTTGTATAACATGAGTCACTTCAGTTTATGAATACCACATCTCAGTACAAACACTTGCAAAATTGAAATTGCTAAATATATGTACGTGTAGGATCAATAGTAATAATGTCCTTAAGTTATCCACTTTTGTGGCTCAATTACTCAATCTCAATTGTGCGTGTTTTGCTCGAAATTCGGTAGAGCTTCAAAAGTTGGAGTGTGATCTCTCTAGAATTACTTTTGAATTTGCACTTTATAATTTGTTGAACATATTAGTATTGAACTATGGATGTTGTTGATTCTTAATCTCATGTTATGTTGGGTTGTAGACTTGAAATTGTTGGTGTTATGTTGACTTTTGAACTTTGTCGGATTAGATGTCAATGCGTTTTTTATTTTAGTCACTAGCTAATATTTAACATTGGATAATAAAGGTTTTGTTGAACATGGTCTACTCGGTCCAGACCGTACCGGACCGCACCGCACAGGCGTGGTCTGGTCTGGACCGTATAGGTTATGGTCTGGTCTATGGTCTCTGTTCTACCCTCTCAGTCTAGACCACAGACCGTGTATATGGTCTGGTCTGGACCAGACCGCACCGTTTCCCAGCCCTACATTCAGCCACTATTAATTAATTAAAAATCACTCTAATACCCTAAACCCCTAATTATCCGTAACTACTAAAAAATTACTAACTAATTGTTACTTACCTAAAAAAAATATAGAGGGCGGAGAGGCATTCTCCTTTGCAGCGCAACTATGGCGACGATTGTGAAGAACACCGTGTTGAGCTTCGTGAAAGTTTCTGCTATGGTTGGGTTTGGCTACGCAATTGACGGTACTTATAAGAGTCAGCTTCCCTTCGCCGTGAAGTTCCTGGTTTTAATGGTAAGAACTGATTGGTTTCTCCCCAAAATTTATAATGTCTAGTTTTCCATCTTTGATTTTTCATAACTCACTATTGCTTTTCTCCTTCGGTTCCGGCCTGTTTAGGCGTGCTCTATCTCTGTTGTGCTGGTAGTCATGGTCGTGGAGTCACTCAAGGGAGGTCGGAAGCAGAGTCAGTCGACGATCGAAGGGATCACCGAGCCGGCGAAAAAGGAAAATTGATTGTGAGACCCTAATCTTTCGTTTGTGATGGTGGTAGCTTCTGATCTTCCATATATGTTGTAGGGTTTGTGTGAATGAAATTCTCATGGACTTGGTTATGTAATAGTTGCAATCAGGATCAGTTGAAAGAAGTTCCTCTTGTTATGTGAATTGTGCGTTTAAATTGTGTCTTGATTCCTCAGAGAAGACTATGCCTAACACGTGCTCGATGAAATGTCCCTGAGAAAGCATAGTTGGAAAAACTCCTCTTGGTTATGCGTTATGTGTTAATGTGCCATGATTTCATAGATAAGCGGCAATCTCAGACGTTTATCACTTACGTTGGCATTTTGCTCTGATTTGCAGTTCGTGCATTTTCAGCATCGGTTCAGTCTAACGCCTAACGGTGTTCACCTTTAACTAAAACAGCAAAGAACTGAAGAATAGTTACAAAAAGAATCAAAAGGATGCATGTTGCCGGGATTCTGTATTGATTTAGGACATCACGTACTTGGAAGCATTGAAGCGGGAAGACGAGCTACACTGGTTGTGAAATGCCATCAATAAATGCATCAAGGTTCGTTACTGACAATCCGCCTTCTGCAACGGCTGCGTTGCATATATCTCCAAGCTCTCTTGCTCTCTTCCTCATTTGTTGGCCTGCTTTGCTTTCACTGTCCATGAACTTCCCAACAATTTGAGCAACCTCTTCTCTAGTTATCTCGGTTTCTTGCTTTAGGTGTATATCGATCTTGCACCCAGTCCGCCACTCTTCAACAATCTGCTTGCTGTTGGCATCTTGATCCAGAAAAAGAGGGAATGTCAACATGGGAACCCCTGCAAAAGATGCTTCAAGGGTCGAATTCCACCCGCAATGACTCCAAAACCCACCTACTGAAGAATGGCTCAACACCTTCAACTGATCACACCACGGCAAAACCATCCCCTTCTTACAGCCACCACTCTGGTTCAGCCTCAAAGCTTCTGCACGAGCTATCCACAGGTACCGAATGCTAGCAGCTTCGAGACCTGCGAGAATTTCATCCATTTGGGTGCTTGAAACTGAGAGGAAACTCCCCAATGAGATATATAGTACAGAGCCTTTTGGCTGGTTATCAAGCCACTCCATGTAGTCAGCGCTGGAGGAATTCTGTTGTAGTTCCAAGTAAGGAATGGCTGGCCCGATTGGGTAGACCGGAAATGTGAAAGTTTGTTTCAAGGAATCCATGGCTTGGATTTCGAGCTCATATAAGGACGTGAAGAGAAGATACTGTGCTTTTGGCACCTGGGCAATGCACTCCAAGGCAAGTTCAAGCACTCTCAGATCATTCTTCTGGAAGAGTGTTCTCAGTTCAGGAACTCTTGAATTCGAAATACCAGGAATCGAATCCACTTTTTCTACAATCAATGGAAGAAGAAATCAAATCACTCACAAATTTGGATGTTGGGATTTGAACAAAAAAAACCCAGAATTTTGCATTTACCTAACAGATCCTTTGGCGGCGAACTCTGGCTTTTTGCAGCAACTTCCAGATGATACAACATGGAAAAGAAGGAAGCTGACATCGTCCAGAAAGCCGCCACTGGAATATTCCTGCGGTTGCCCACTCCCATAGCCCATCTGACTTCAATGTCTCCGATAATCGCAGTCGCCGGAGGTTGGAGCTGATCCAGGAGCTGTTCGAAGGGGGATTCCATCTCTGTCATCACAGCTTCATAGAATCCAGGAAAGTCAACAGCTTTCAGGCGCTCTGGTGGAATGACGTTAGCTATGGTTCTAAACTGAACTATCTCAGGCTTTGGCTCTGACCCTATGTAGCCAAGCCACTCCTCTGTGATCACAAAGGTGATAAGAAGATCGCTTCGCCTTCTTGAAGCTAGCAACTTGCAGAGGTTCATCATCGGATTGATGTGCCCTCTCCCTGGGAACGGCATCGCCACCAGATGATGACATACTTCCTTAGATTCCATACCAGGTGAGCAATTCGTGCTCAATTTGTGAAACTTGGTAGAACACTGAAAGAAAGATATCTCCTTTTCTCAAGATAGGAATATGTATTTCACAAAAATGGCAAAAGCATGCTAAAAAAAATAGTCAAAAGTGCTGTGTGGGAGCTCGCTACCTACCGCCTTGGTTAGTCCCTTTTGTCTTTATCCTCTTTTATATTGTTTCTTATATTCTATGTTATCATTTCATCTTAGTGGGAAGCTTCTGAATGTCAATAAAGCAAAGCATCTGTTATGTGCTTGCAGAGATTCATTCACTTCAACGACGGTAACAAGCGGTTGAAATGTCTGCGATGCAGTCATCGAGGTTCCTAACTTACAAGAGGCATCAAATATTCAAAACAGAAAGGGGAAAGGCGAATGAATCCGTGTTGCATCTGGATTCTCATGCTGCCGCTTTGCTGTGGATCTAGATTCGAGCTTCATGGAGAAGACATTGTGTGTATGCTTAACACAAGCTGGATGAAATGTCTCTGAGAAAGCATCCCATGCCAGTAGCCATGGACCCTCCATCCGAACCAGCATCTCTGGCCTTCCGCTGCAGCTCTTTTACTCTAGTCCACATCTCTTTCACTTCGGCGTTCTCACAATCCATGAACTTCTTCACAATTCCCGCCACTCGCTCTCTACCCATCCAAGCTTCCTCCTTCACCTTCCACCCGATCCTCCAATCCTCGACGATCACCTTGCTGTTGTGCAATTGGTCGATGCCGAGAGGCCACGTCAGCATCGGAACCCCGGCATAGAGCACGCATTCCTGCACGGAGTTCCATCCGCAGTGTGTCCAGAACCCGCCTACCGAAGGGTGGTGAAGCACCTTCAACTGTTCACACCATGGCACCATGAGTCCACTGTCGCCTCCCCAGGCCTTCTGCAGTCTCGTCGCCTCGCCACGAGCCACCCACAGGAACCGAACCCCGCTCTGGCTCAAACCTGCCGCGATTTCCTCCACCTGTGTTGCTGGAAAGGACAAGTAGCTGCCCATGGAGACATACAGAACTGACCTCGCTGGTTGCAGGTCCAGCCATCTCAGGTAGTCAAGTTGTTCGTCGCTCTCCGTTGCCAAACCGGAATATGGGACAACCGCAGGGCCGATGGTGTAGATTGGATATGCCAGGCTTTGCTTCAGAGCATCCACAGCTTGGGGTTCAATCTCATACATCGTGGAGAGCAGCAGGTACTGGGCTTTGAGAACCCTGGAGAACCCTTCTCGGATTCGATTTATAAGTGATTCGCTGTAACCGGTGAAATGTAGAGGGAGATCAGCGAGGCGTATTGGAGATACCCCGGGAATGTAGTTCACTAGCTGATGCCCGTTCTCTAGGAAGAAGAAAAAACAACGTTTCGAGATGCATAGTTAACAAAAGCAGACACATACATCATACATCCTCTGAAGTTGAAGAACATAAAAGGCTGGCTCACCAGATAACTTAACAGGGAAGTGCCCATTCTGTGTGAAAAGGTCCCAGTGGTGGAAGAGTGAAAACACGGTGGCCGACATGCACCAAAATGACGCCACCGGAATATTTCTCCGGTTCCCCAAGCAGACGGTCCACGACAGGAGAGTATCGGCCATGATGAGAGAAGCTGGGGGATCCAACTGATCAAGAAGCTGCTCGAAGTGGGGTTCCATCTCTGTGTTCAAGGCTTGGATGAACTTCTCCATATCCGCTGCTCGAACCAGCTCCGATGGAATGACATTAGGTATGGTTCTGAAACGAATTTTCTCACTTCCTGAGGTCTCCTCTGAACCCAGAAATCCGAGCCATTCTTCAGTAACCACGATGGTGACGAGAAGAGTAGTATTGGGCTTGGAAACCAGTAGCCTGCAGAAATTCATCATAGGATTGATGTGGCCACGGCCAGGATATGGCAGAGCCACAATGTGACAGCAGCTTGGCGTGTCTTTCATGATTATTGCTGGATCTGTATCTTGAAAATATCCTGGAGGAAAAGAAAAAGGACTTTGAAGAAGAGAACACGGTGAGTGGTGTGGAGTTGTGGAATTATCAGTAAAGGTGTAAAGGTCAGGCCAGTTATATATTTGATCAAATATTTCCTTTCTTTATTGATTTTATTTTGTCCACATGACACCGACAATGATCATTTTAGGATCTTATCCACTAGCAATTTCATGTTACCGAAAATTTAAAATACACTGCCTGGCTGTTGTAGAGAATTTGACTATTTGAGGAATGATAATGGCTTGATTTTCATTGACGTAAAGGGAGTATATTCTTATTCATTCAAATAAAAGCCTGGTTAAGCATCTACCATTCATTAAGATTTAAGAGGTTTTTTAGTAATTTTACCAAAGTTTAAGGGGTCGTTTGGAAGTTGCGATTGTTAAATAGATGTATTGTTGATAATGCATGTATAATATTATACATGTATTGTCGAATTTGATGCATTGTAGAATACAACGTTTAGTATGTGTGATTGTGTATGTCGCATCAGCTAAAAGCTGAGACAAAACAATCTCAACTCAACTATCTCAACAATCACAACGAAAAGTTGAGATATAACAATCACTCAAAATGAGTGATAGTTTCTGTCACATCACAGAAACAATCCATGTATTGTTTCTGCTAAAAAAACAAAAAAAAACGATACATTGTAAACAATACATGCATAATGACAATCTCAACAAAACTATCGCAACTTCCAAACGACCCCTAAGTTCATTCTTCAAAGAATGACATTATGGCAATATTTTCAAGAGCCATATGTCAACATTTTTATAATTTTACTTTTCAACTTATGTTCTCCATATTTCATTTCTTTTCCTATTTCATATATTTTTGTTTGTTGTTCTTAAATCAATTTGTTGTTCGTATTTGATTTTGTATGCTTACTTATCTTTTCCGGTCGAGACATGCTTTCGTATTTGATTTTGCATTTTTAATAATCTCTCCCGCTCAAGGTCGTATATGATGCTAACGATAAAAATCTCTTACCCCCAATCAATCAAGAAGAATGAAAATTATTTGCATAATTTTCAATTATTTTGTCATTTTCCCTTCATTTGCAAGTAGACACATATTTATCTCATTCCCCCCCTTTTTTTCATTTATTTTAATCACATATAGCCTTTAAAAATCTTTTAGCAATCCTCTTTTTTATTTCTTTTATTTTATTCTTTTGTTTTTGTTATCCTTGAATCAAAATCTTTGTTCGTAATTGGTGCATATTCCGGTGATGTGTTTTTCATTTTTGAATTCGTATTTATTGACATTTTTCTTAGTTTTTCGACTTTTCAACTAAAGTAAACCGACCACACGTATTTGGATCACGTTTATATCGGTGAAGCATTTTTCCAATTTCGAATTCTTATATATTGACAATTTTTCTGAGTTTTTCGTCTATTCAACTAGAGGTCGAATGATCACGCGTGTTTCAATCACGTGTGTTTCAACGATCCATTTTCCATTTTTGAATCCTTATCGATAAGAAAAAGAGGACCACGTTAATTGATTTCAACTAGAAGTTCGTATTTGGTTTCGCCCCATTATTTATCTCTTTAGCGATTTGCTAGATCCGAGGACACCAGAAAGATTGGGACAAAGAAGTCACTATAGTAGTACTCATTGAATAACAAGAAACCCACATTTGTGATTTTCAAAATGTGTTTGTTGTTCCCCAATCGGTTCCTATTCATTGGCCAACGAGTCCATTTTTTTATTGTTTGCTTCACCTTATTGCTAAATATGTTTGCTCAATTCTTATTTAGTTATTCAGATGTCTCTATTTATCAAATGAGAGCTAGGTCTGCATTTTTTTTGATTTGTGTTCTTTACAGGTTAGTTTATTCTCCACATGTGACCTTTCACATCACTCACTTTACGCGAAGCGCAGCGAGCGGGTATATCTAGTACTATATATAGGTAGCAGGGGCGGAGCTAAAAGGTTACATGGGTTTCATCATGCATCCTCTTGAATTTGGAAAAAAACTAAAAACAATTAGTAGTATTTTAATAATGATATTTAAATTTTAAATTCAATCATAAAGTTTTCTATTGTCGAATCACAACAAATTATATAATTTAATTTATTACTTTCTATTTTAATACATTCTAGTTTATCAAGACGTATAAGATTAAGAGGTCGAAATTATTAAAGAATACCATTACATTTTTTATAATAATGACAGTAGAAAGTTAGTTACACATCCAACGTTTTTACTTGTGAAAATAAAATTGATTTGCTACTACCCGTTGTCAATGCACAAGTTGGAAATTTTTGTTGCAGTGAAACGATTAACATTATTGAACTGAAATTGTGAGTGTTTATGTGGTGGGAATATTAAGAGTGAAACTTGGTAGTTTAGACAATTCATATAGTTCTAGAATAATTTTACATATGTGATTTTTCATGATACCCTTTGAATAAAATCTTGGCTACTAATAAGATCCCAAACTCGTGAAAGGTTAGGTTCTTTTGTCAAAGTCCCGCAACTTTGATCTTTTTAGGATTTTATGATATTTTCTCTCAACAACTCGAAAAGTAAATGACAGGGCGGAATTGTCGTGCAACTTCAACAAAAAATCGGGAAGAGGCTCAAACAATATAATGGATAGCAACTCGACCAAAATCAAAGTGAATACCTGATAGACATAGATCTCGCTCGAATGTTGGAGAGCCACCAACAAACAAGGACAAAATTCAAGAGTAAAAACTCAATGAACCGAAAAAGGTTTTTTTTGTGAAATAAAACTAATGAAAGTATAGAAACGGAAAAAGAATCATAAACAAAAAAGTAACTAAAACTTTTCAACCCAAAATCCCCTATCGACACCATCAAATCCCCTATCGGGTATTTTAACCCTCCTGGCCAGGGGTCCTTCTGATCCAAATTCACTATCTGGAGACTGGAACCTCAGATCCCTTATAGGGAATTTTAACCCACCTAATAGGGTATTTTCCTGATCACCATACGATCTTTAGGTTGCTCGTTTGGTGTCCAGGAAACTTCAATCTCTCACCCCAACACCTTCACGATCCTTAGCAAAACTTGTACTTTCATTCCCAACACCTAGCTTCTCTCAAATGTCTCCCAAACAATACGAGTAAGCTCGCAAAGTAGGTACCACAGAGTGTTTCCCAGACTTAGCCAAATTTCTACCTTCTTCTTCCCTTGACTTGGTTTCTTTTTTGAACATCAATTGGAATGATTTTGGGCCACGATCTAGGATCACATTAGCTACGCTACTGATAGGTATAATAGAGAAATAGATACTTTGATATTTTAATGACAGGTTAATGTATTTGTCTAGTATTAAAAAATATACCTATGTATCTCCTATAAAAAAACCTTCGTGTAGTGGCACGGTCATAATTATACTAAATGTTGGTCTGACGTGAAAAGATATAAGGTGAATTTTATTAATGTTTACTATGAACCAAGACGTGTTTTCAAATTTTGAAAATTTTATAAAACACGTTCATCATCCAAACTTGTTATCAACTGTGTTTCCTTTCAATATATCTTACGAAACAAATCGTCATGAATTCATCAATTATTCGACTTTAAAGTTTGTTTTTCACGTATTACATTGCGAAAAATACACTTTCAAAAATGACACAAGCAACAATGCAAATTTTACCAAGGCGATACACTAACAAAAAATTATTTGTCACAACCATTGCCATCTAGCTAGGAGAATGCTTGACAACTGCTTTCGGTTAGAGAATGAAATCGAACATAAATAGTACTAGCGTGGGCCTCGGCTAGTTTGCCGGAGAAAGAGAGGTATGAAATTTGAGAATGTAATGGGGTATATAGCTTATTGCCGTATAGTTTTTTTTATGGGAAACATGTGATAAAGATAGTGTATTTTAGCAGAAAAGAGACATAAATGATGCAATGAATAAAAAATCAGCCTAATGAACCAAAATCAAGTACCTGTTACCTTGTGAAACAATATTATTTATATTAATATGATGAGGTGGAGTAAGTTTTATAGAAATCGAATTCCACAAAACCGAATAAAAAATCGTCTATCCCGCCGGTCATCGGGAAATGAGAATTTCACAATCGTTGCTAGCTTTTACTAGGCCCGTTGATCGATTAATTTGCTTTATAAAACTTTCATCTTGTCGTCATTGTGCTTTCTGGTTTTTGCCAGGCCATGATAAAATCTAAAGAAATCAAGAACGAACAACACGATTTGGGATAGGAACCTCTGTTCATGTATCCCTACAAAATAATGGTAAACACGAACTCAGCTGCCGAACTGGTTTGGATTGAGATTTTTATCGGGTATCAGGGAACCATGTGATTATAAATTAGGCTTGTTCAAAACGGGCCAAAACTTAAAATTCAATCTGTTTGACCGACCTATGCCAAACTCCAATTATTCTTTACTTTTAAACTTTCTATTTGAAAATAAAAAATTGTGAAAGAAAAGAGATGACTGCAATTCGCCATTTGCACATCACTGATTCGGGAACAAAACCATAGAAATTCAGAAAGAAACTAAAAATGTTTAGGATCATTTTAATGTTAAAAATAACCAAATGGGTCTTTCTATTTAGTTTCTTACTAATAAATACGAAACAATTCCCTATAAAATATACTATAATTTAATTATTATGATGTCAAATAATTACATAATATATATTTGAAATGATACAAATTGGACTAAATGGGTTGGTCAATTTTGAACCATTTAATAACTTTAAAATACATTATATTTTAGCCACTAAGATATAAAATAATAGCATAATATATGTTATGCTAGAGAAAATAGTTGTTTTAGGATGACAAACCCATGGTGTTCATTTGTTTTACTTGATGGCCAAATCTCGTATAGGTTAGGCCCATTCAACTCTTTTATTTTATGGTTAACGGTTAGCCCATTAGAATCCATGCATTAGTTTGTTGTTAAATTTTTTCTTTTTAGCAATAAAAAGGAGTATTGTTTTTGCCCTTTCATATATATCTTACCAACACCGAGAAATAAAAGGGCTTAAAGAAACCTGTTCTGTTTTCGTGGGCCGCAACAATTCCTGGGCCCGTTTAAATCCGCACGTGTACGGTATGTTGGCCCGTTCCACAGAGGAAAGAGAAAAAATTGACACTCCCTATTCTACCCTTCCTACAAACGCTCATGGAGCAAAGAATTTGAAATGGGGGAATGATTTTTTCCTTCCTGCTCTTATTTATTTGCAGATTTAGAAAACTCGATAAATTCACAATAGAGGTTCTATTTATTGTATATAATTTATGTGATCGTTAAAAATAAATCAAAGACAAATTTATCTCATAATGTGTGTAATTCATTTTTTAGTTTAATTCAATTATTGCATGTTATAAGGCTTGAAATTCATGTCTAGTATATATTTACATATATTTTTAAAGATATTTTCAAATCCAAGGTGGGTCCTGGAACCCACCATCTTATGAGCTCCCTCTGCCACCGTCTTCATGTTCAATTGGCTAATGACTAGGAATGTTGTATCCTTATCACGCACCAGTAAGATGTAGGAGTTTGTAACAACGTCAATGTTGAGCCAAAGAGGCTGGAAGCCACAGAAAGAGCGGCTTCTTTTGCCATCATTACCTATGTAGTGAGGATGGAAGTTGATATGTCTTCTTCTATGTTGATTTCGGCATTCATGATGATGGATTAGAGTATTCATTGCCTCTATGTATTACTAGTTGGAGTTCATTAAGAATTAGAGAAATTAATTGCAAACGTCAATATTACGAGGTCATTTGTTTGAGTCATTTAAAAAATGAGTTTTTTAAAATAAACATTTGAGAAATATGAAATTTGAAATTATAGACATTTGAAAATGACTCTAACATTATGCAATATGTCAATTTTATGCTATGTTTTTATTTATGAGAAAGCATGTAAGAAAATGATTTAAACTGCATGCTTAAACCTATTTCAACAATTTAAGATATTAAAAGCCTATCATCTTGTACATGTAAAATGATAAGATTTTTTCAAGCATGATGGCATTCGATTAAATGAATCCCTTGATTATGTGACGCTCAATTTGACTTGTTCATATTTTTCTAGAGTTTTCCCAAGGCCAAGAGCCAAGGTTTAAAGCTGCACAAAATCAAATTAGCAAACAGAAGAAAAAAATTCCGCAAGTACTTTTTTTTTTGGCAAGTCCGCAGCTACTTTGACTTTGAGTATGCATGTGATGTGATGCACTCTGACTGCGAGGCTAATAGCAGTGGGCCCAAACGTAAAACACATGTGTCGTGAAATGATTTAATATGGGATACGGGTTGGGCCTTAGGTAACCTAATTCGCTGGTTTGGACCCAGCGCTCCCGCTCTGGAGCGTTAAAATCGCGGATTTTGGATGGAGCGTCAATAATTCGCGAACTGCTTTTATTCAGAGCGCGAATTTTGTGAGGGAGGACGCGAATTTAATGTATCTCGTGAGAGACCTCTAAGGTTCAGTGGAAGAGAAAGAGAAAGGCGGCGAGAATGAAAGATCTACCCGTCTCCGTGTCGTCACTGCAGCGAGAGCAAGAAAGAGAGAGGATGGTATTCTGTCGATATATGCTTCCGGCAAGCCGTAACTTGCTCGATTTGGTCCTGGTTGCCGGAACACCCCTGCCTCCGACAAGCCGGAACCAGATCCTTACCCTCCCATCCAAAATCAACGAAGCAAAACAACAACTGGAATTAGAAAGAAAAAAGAAACATGCAGAACCCAAATTCTTTGATCTAAATTGTTTATTTATGATAAGTCAATCTGAAATGTTTATAACAAAAATAAACCTCTTGATCCGAGTCAGAGGAGGGTAATGAGTGAGTGAGACGGGACACTTTCTTCTCCATTTACTTTTTTGGTTCACACGAAAATGAGAATTGAAAAGGGACTATGTAGCTTCAGTGGAAGCTTTCTTCTCTGACAATCGATTGAATGCCTGAACTGCCGTCGAGATAGCGGTGCATGCAACAGAAAGTGGTTGGTAGCGAGAAATTGGAAGTAGAAACATAAACTTGGTTTTAATAGACTGAGCAGATGTTGAAGTCCTATTAAAATAACTCCACTCAATTGTCTCTGCAGATGAGGTTAGGGATTTGAATTTACAGAAGAGAGAAGAAAGGAAGACGGAAGGAGAAGACGGTTGGAGAGAAAAGAGAGGAAGTGCTTGTGTGGCTTGGCTTCTTTCTTCCAACTTTTAGTAGGTTCTTTTGTGGGCTGGGCTTTAATGAAAATACAAACAATTAAAATAACTCAAAGGACCCATTTCATTAATGTGGCAGGCAACCCAAATAAGACTTGAATCCTACTGGAGCAAACAGGCTACGGTTTGACTCAACCTGTATATTTCTAATAGTTTTTTTACGGGTTGTATATATTTAATAGTTATTTCCAATAATTAGGTCTTTAGTTCTTATAAAAATTAACTGAATTTATTAATTTAAATTAACAAAATATCGCGCTCTCGTCGCGCTCTCAATATTGAGTTATTTAAAAATGAGCGCTCTAACGCTCTCGCTCCCGCTCCACGAATTGGTTACCTAAGTTGGGCCTAAGGCCCTTTACAAATTGCTCCGCTAAGTTGTTTCCGAATCACCGAACCTAAGCCTGAAACTTATTAGAGATGTCTTTAACGAAGGAATCCATCCAGACCAAATCCGATTATCCTCCATCTGCTACCGCCGTCCGAAGAACTTCTCGGAGCTCCGACGCCCTCTCCTCTCCCAGTCTCCCTCATATGCTTCACTTCACCGTTCTCCAAATCCATGAAACTCCTCACGATATCCGCAACTTCATCTCATCTCATCAACTCATCCCCGCCGACCGCTCCCTTCCTCGCCCTCCACCCAACTCTCCAGTCATCCACGATCGATTTGCAATTAGGGGTTTGATCCTAGTGCAACGGCCAGCACAGCATCGGAACTCCGGCATTCAGAGATTCTAGCGTCGAATTCAACCCGCAATGCGTCCAGAACCCTCCTACTGATTCGTGGGAGAGCACCCTCAATTTTTGCATCACGGGACCATAATTTTGGTAGCGGCGGCGGTGGAGATCGTTCCGTCTCATCGAGAGATCAGGAGGAATCGAACGCCGCTGCTCTCAACCTTGGCGATGATTTCTTCCGTTTGTTGTTTGGAGGGCAGAGAGGAAGCCGCCCACTTATACGGGGTAATTAACATAAACGGTCACAAATCTTTACACTTTGTACAAAAGGGTCACAAACCTTTATTTTTGCACGATTCGATAATAAACGTTTGACCGTATAACAAAACAATCATTCCTTCCTTCTCCATCCAAAGTTCTGTTAGTTTTGTCCAGTCAGCACTCCACGTTTGTCCAGTCATCAAAAATATTAATAAAAAATTGAACTTAAATCAAACCACCCAACCCAACGGCTCAACCCACCCGACTCTATAGAGCGTGCCCCAATTTCAGAAAATAAAACCCTCCACCTCCCTTAAAGTCACTCGTCGCCGACTCGCCGTCGACCACGAGCTCCATGAATTGAACACTCAGCTTGGAATCTTCGACGAGGCGGTCTGTTTGTACTTCGGAGAAGAAAGGCTGAAAGGGAGACCAACCAACCAATGATACCAACCTTTGAAACCTTCCTCTACATCATCGCCCAATCATTCTCCTTCTTGACCCCAAAACATAAAGATTCCCCAAAATTCCCAAAACCAATTTACTAACTATTTTTGCAGAGATCTTTGTTGTCGAAAACTTCCCACCTTTTTCAAGTTCCGGGGCTTGATTCTTCTCACTGTTCGTCGGAAACTCCGGCGGGAGAAGTGGAGGCGATCGGAAGGTCGTTTCCAATCTCGCCAGGTCCGGGCTGTAGTTCCTCGCCAGCCGTATTGTCTGGTTCTTGAAGAAAGGTTGCATACGGATCTCCGATCCACCTTACTGTTGTTCTCGAGTATCTCGCTGTCGAGGTAATTTTCTCAGATAGAATTATGCTCTTCACCATGGCGAGATTGGATTTTAATTTTGAAGTAATCAAAATGTTTTGATCCATCTCAGCTTCTCTATAATAATCACATGATTGAACAACAAATTAGTTTTGTTGATTTTAACAGGAAGTGGAACTTGTTGAGGAGTGATGGAGATGGGAATCTACGGTCGGGGAGGGTAACAGAGTTCGGGTGGGTTGAATCGTCTCCAAAGGGTTGGATCGTTTGGTTAAATTCAGTGGTTTGGTGAATTTTTTTTTTATTATTATTGGTGACATGGAGTGCTGACTGGACAAAACTAACAGAAATTTGGATGGAGAAGGACGGAATGACCGTTTTGTTATACCCTCAAACGTTTATTATTGAATCGTGCAAAAATAAAGGTTTGTGACTGTTTTGTACAAAGTGTAAAGGTTTATGACCATTTATGTCAATTACCCCACTTATACGTAGAGTACATATGCCTTGGGCTGAGCGTTTAGCCATTGAAGATATTTGAATGAATGGGGTCCTCCTCCTGAAGCTTCAGATACGGGATGGATTGGAGGGCCCAATTGTAGATTGGAAAACTGAAATGATGTTTTAGCGAGTCGAAGAGTTGTCGAGCTCCTAAGGCGAAGTGAAGCAGAGGCACTGGACTTTGGAGACGAAGGAAGCTTGTTGATTATAAGAAAATTGGCTACGTCTTTCTTAGAGCTTGTTGATTTGACATAGTGGGCTTCGGAAATCGTTTTTGTGTCGTGGTAGATAGCGCGAAATGATTGACAAGGGACAAAGTTTTTCATTATCAGAACAATAGCTAATAATGTCCATGATACTAGCCTTGCAAATCCATGAGTTGAAAGTACATCAATTTGCCCTACCACTATACAGACAGTCTAGTTCTCCCGTATTGGAATAATGGGATATTGATACTAGTGCCTAACATATGGGATTCATGCTCAATGACCCGCTGAGTGGTATTCAGAAGACAAGTTCCCACCTCTTTCCTCCAACTGCTGCTTTTGCGTCGACTTGGTGAAAAATTCAACCTGTTCTTCATCATCCAGAAGCAAGCTGACAGTTTTCGGGATTGTCGGCATCCCCACATTCAGGAATCCCTCTAGAACCTGAACCACCTGACTCATCATAGGCCGGTGGCTCTCGTCGTCCTGAATGCACCAGCATGCCACCTTACACACTCTTAGAATCTCATTAGGATCTGCATCCCTTCCCAGCCTACGATCCAATAATTCAACCACATCACCACCTTCGTTTATCACGGTCATCGCCTCATATGGGAAGAATCTCATCTCCCCGTCGACATTTGATCTCCCCAAGTTCCTTCTCCCTGAAACAAACTCAAACAGCATCATCCCGTAGCTGTAAACATCCACCTTTGAAGTCACCGGAGTCCCCGAGATCCACTCCGGAGCCAAGTACCCTCTCGTCCCTCTCATTGTGGTCAGCACTCTGCTGAAATCCCTCCCCACCAGCTTCGCCAGTCCGAAATCCGCCACCTTCGGACACATATAGGCATCTAAAAGTATGTTCTCCGGCTTCACGTCACAATGGATGATGCAGTCCCGACACTTCTCATGCAGATACGTCAGCCCTCTCGCTATCCCCATCGCAATGTTGTACCTCGTCTTCCAGCTCAGAACCCCGGAACCCTCCATCGTGTCCTTGTTGGTCTGATGATTGAAAAGATGGGAATCGAGTGAGCGATTCGGCATGTGGTCGTAGACCAGCAGCTTGTGTGCTCCTTCCGAGCAGAACCCCACGAGTCGGACAAGGTTCACGTGCTGAATCGTCCCGATCGTGCTGACCTCCGACCTGAATTGCTTCTCTCCTTGTCTAATCCCTTCCAGTTTCTTCACCGCCACCATTGAATCCGACAACACGCCTTTGTAAACAGAGCCAAATCCTCCTTCGCCTAATTTGTCGGAGAAATTCCTGGTGGCACTCTGCAGATCTCTGTAGCTGAAGGCCCTCAACGAGCCTTCTACTGACTTCTCCCCCAGCTTCCTCATTCGCCGCTTCCTCCAGATTACCACACCAATGACTGCAGCTAGAGCTAGCACCACAGCTGAACCAACGACACCTCCGATCACGAGAGCATTATGGCTGTCGGAACCCGGCAATTCAGAAGCTGCAACTCTGACGAAGATTGTGCTTCCACTAGACACATCTTGTTCCAAATTGAGCAATTCACCAAACCACACCAGACATTGATTGTTCCTGTCATCGTACGAGTAAGCAGTACATGAACACCTATTCAAGCAAAATCCCCTGCACCCACCTGCATTTCCAGCTCCTGACACTTGTATTCGTGGATTGCTAGGCAATTTCATGTCGTAGTATGGCAAGAATCCATCGCCACTACTAGAGATGTTCCCATTGCTACTACATTCAAGCCCTGCTCGCCTCGTGCACCCGCCATAGAAGACATTCGAGCCGTAATCGGCCTCGGATTTCGGGACAAACCCTTGCAGGCATCGACAGAAAGGCTGGGACCTCTGAGTACAGCTCCCGAACGAGCCGCAGTATCCGTACACCTCACACTGGACTCGAGGCTGAGTCCAGTACTGAGTCCATTCCTGACTCGACCCGAGGATCCAAGACAGCTGCTGAATCTGCCCGCCTACGTCCATCACGAACCGCGACACGAGGACCGAGCTGTTCATCGTGTAAGTGGCGTAGCTCTCGACGTCGTTGTCGACGAAGGAGTAGTTGTAGATGTTGGCATTTGGCGGGGCGTAAAGAGCTCTCATCTCTGGCACCAAGCTGAAGATCCGGCCGACCGGATCCCATGGCCCGCTTCTCCAGAAGTCCGTGGAGTTGTAGAAGATGAGGTACTGATCCGTCCCGTTGACGTCGAGAGAGACTGAGAAAGGGCCTGGAGAAGGGTCGTTGGCAGACTTCCATGAAGTGATGGCGCTGTTCTGCTTTGTGATCTTGTTGAACCCGAGCCTGCCTCCAGGGAGCCAATTGTTAACCGGGTGGTCGAAGCTCTCCCACAACCGGATAGAATCAGACCGGGTCGATGCTGATAGGACAAGATTCCCATCGTCGAGGAGCACAGCTTCAACTCCGGCTGATGTGGAGTTTGAGATGATCGACCAAACCGGGATGTTTCTCTCGTTAAAGAGGACCAAATTGCCGTCGGAGATTCGGAGTTGTGATGAGAACCGATTCGAAACCGGGGTCTCTCGGTTTGCGACCCAGACTACGGTTTGCAGAGGGATTTGGTTGTACCATATGCCTATGTAATGGTTGGAACTGGAGTTGGAGTTGGAGCTGGACTTATTACCTGGGCTGAAGAAACCCATTGCAAAGGTTCCTCCGGCGGACACGATCGTTTGGTCGCCGGAGAGAGATTGATTGGCCGTGATCCGGTCGGCTCCATGAGCTTGGAAACAGAGGAAGCTGAAGATGAGAAAGTACAACATTAGAGCCAGAGAGACAGAGAGGGTAAAGGAGGCTCTTTTGGTAACCCATGTCTGCAGCCTACTTTATAAGTTGATAGCTTTGTGAAGAAGAGCTTGGTAAAGTCAATAGGAGTCTTTTTCTTCCGTTGTTTGCTATTGACCTTCTCGTTGGTGGGAAGAACCACGAGACGAAAGATCGTCACTGTTTGAAAACCCTGGCCATGGGTGTTTTGTCGTACGCCGGTTGGAAGGCAATTCAAGTTGAAATGGTGAAACGCTTCCGTTTATCAGAAAGTAAGCAAAGTCCTTAACCATAGCTGTAAGTTTAATGTAATATAATATTAGTCACAATCAATCAAGTGGAAAGTGAAGGGGGAAGGTGTTGATTATATGAAGTCAAGTTGTTAAACTCCTATCGAATCCCCGGTGTGACCCCTAAAGAGGGAGAAGAAGAGAGGGGGAAGGGAGGAAGAGGAATGAAGGAAGGGAGATGGTGGGTGAATAAAAGAAGGTTAGGTAGATTTATTTTGTGAAAAATAAGTTTTTAATAGATATATGTAAGATAAATTTTATTTTAGTCATTAAATCTTTAATTATTATTTTATTTGTACATATATTTAGAAAATGTCTAAAACGATTTAAATCACTCAGACCCCGATCAAACCCTTAAACCTCAAACATCTTGTCTGACCGGCTCAATGACTTAAACGATTTGACAACCTTAATCTAAAGAGAGCACAAAAGTCTTTCCACGAGCCAGGATTCAGCGTTGGTATTTGTCTGATTGAAGATAGGGATTCATTAGTTTATTGATTTATAAGATTTACGGTGCGGGGTTAGGTTAGGTTGTCGCTATTGTACTGGAAGAACAACAGGCAATTTACTGATCAACGCTACAACCACAAATTGCTGAAAGAGGGACGAATTTGATTAGCAAAGACATAATTGGCACATGTTTGATAAGGTGGTAGATTGAGATAACCTCTTAAACAAGATAGCTTTTGAATAGAGTTATAGATGCTTATCTCTGTTGGCACCTTGTCTAATTAAGCTACTAGCGGAAGTAAGGATTTAGAGTGAGCAGGGGCAGAAAATAATAAATTGTAACAGTTTTCCACGATTGAACCTAAATCTTGAAGGAGGGAGCTAATGGCTCTCAATCGTAAATTTCTAAAGTTTTCACAGTATATAAGTACACACATAATAACTTTTGATAATTTTTTTTTTTTGAGGATGAGCTATGACGCCGATGAACTACATGTAGCTTTGACAATCCTCTACACAACCATATCGCCAATCCTAGTTAGGGCTTCACGCATACAAAATACAAAAATTTTAATTAGTTAAATAGCTGACTCAACAATTATACACTGAATATAAATCCGTTAAAAGTTAGCACGATAAAGTGTAAAGTGAATATATGACAAGATACACTTCTATAGCTATAATTTTCGCATTTGTGACAATAATAGTTACTTTTGAATAAATATTATATATAGCCACTTCTGTCCAATACTTTAACGGTGGCATCCTATAGATTGAGTGGACTAACATCAACAATTGACGTATCATATTTTATTCATAAATATTGTCAGGTGAAAAATCATCAAAGTTTATCCTTTAATTTAAGCAAATTAAATAACAAATTATCTAAAAAAGCAATAATCTCTATCCTCACCCGTCAGGCCGTCACCACCGCGAAACCAGCCACCACTACAAAAAGCTAAAACCCAGCCACCACCAATCCGGCCGCCGCCGACCACACCCTAACTCTACTAATCCGGAAATTGAATTTGTTTGCCTCTAAAATTCCCATATGGAGATTTTATCCGTTCCGGCAGAGATTGAATCCGTTTTCCTTCAACCCCTAAACCAGGCTCAATCTCGCTGTCTCTCACCATCAAACATCCTCCTCGCTTAAATCGGAATATTTTCCCCTTGAAAATCATGATATCCGCTGCCCTTAGGGCTGGTATTCGGTTAACGGTTTAACCGATAACCGTACGGGTAACCACGGTTATCGGTTAAACCGTTAACCGGAAGGTGACGATTGTCGGATGGGAAATCTGGGACGACGGTATACCGAAATCCGTATGTTAACTAACCAACGAAAACTCGGTTGCTCGATACCGAATTTGCAGGAGCGACGACGCAGTACTAATTCCCCATTGTCCATTCCCGAATCCCGACCCCGTTCCCGATTCTCCTAATAGTGAAATTAATTCTCTATTAGGAAAAGAAATTAATAATTACAGATTACTAATTCAACAATTCTCCTCCCCTCTCGCTCTCCGTCTGCCTAACCCAGCCCTCACGAGTCTCCCGCCGCCCAATTGGAACCCCAATCGGCAATCGGCGCCTCTCCAATGCCGGCACATTCAGAATGACAAACCACGACGTAGCAAGCCAGCAGTCCAGCACCGCAACCTCTTCGTCGACCCCGCGCCGCGTCCTCTCCATCGACCCCGGCACTGCAACCTCTCCGTCGACCCCGCGCTACGTCCACTCCGTCGACCCTGCGTCGCGTCCTGTCCGTAGACCCCAGCACCGCTACCCGACCCAGTAGCCCATAACATCGTCAGTTTCAGGATGGTTGTCTGGTTGTGCAGCTTCCCCCGCGACAACAACTTTAGTGATTTTGTTTGTTTAATTAATTAATTCCACCTTCCCCCGCCGCAGTAGCTGCCTGTTTTTTATTTTTGAAGGGGACGAGCTAGAGAAGAGGAGTAGAGAAAGAATACGTGTGGTAAGAAGAAGACAAAAAAGGCATCAACATCAAGATGTAAGAAATGCATTTGTGGTGGGTTTTGAGTTTACAGGTGGCGCACGCTGGCAGCACGCAAGACAGCAGCAGGCAGCCGGATACACACATTCGGTAAACGGGTAACCGTCCAAAATATCGTGACACACTACTTCGATAACCGGTGTACCGAGCTGCATTCGGTATAGGCAAACAGCGGAGGATATGGGGTTCCGGTATACCGGTAATCGGTCAAACGGTCAAACGGTAACCGGTTTAACCGGTTACCGACCGATTACCACCCCTAGCTGCCCTTCTTGTTTATTTTCCAATCTCAACCCCCCTCTCCCACAGAAACACTCTCATCGAAGCTAACCAACCTCCGCTTGCTTTTGCTCTTGGTAGCACTTTTAGGTTTTCGACAAATCCGAAAACATGCAAAGAATGACACCGACGAAGATGGTGATGGCGAAGTGGAGAGGATGAAGTAGGCCGGAATAATCAGTAAGCAGCCCGCGATTCACCATTGGGGTCACCGATTAACCAGCAGAGCCAAATCGCTCTGTTCCGAAAAATGCGGTAGCTGGAGCCGCTGTGTGGGAAACTCGCATATCCCAGAGATCTCCCCAATCGTCACCGGTCGGACTCCAAGGATTTGGAAGCAACGCAAGGGATCTGGTGGAAGCTTCAATCGGCTGCAGGCAGGAAATTTCCCCTCGTTTGGTTTTGGTGATTGTTTGGTTGAGATAGTTACAATGTATGTATTGTCCACAATGTATTGTTTTTTTTTTTTTTGAAATTTCTGCACAAACAATACATGTGATGGAAACTATCACTCAAAATGTGTGATAATATTATCTCTACTAAAACTTGAGATTGTTGAGATAGTTTTGAGGAGATTGTTGGGTTCCTTTTTTGTTCCAATTATATCCCTAGTTATGGCTATATGTTCTAATAAAAGCATGGGCAAAAGTGATCTTTCCCACAAAAAGTAATATAACTTGTTGAATACTAAAAAAACTATCACCAAAACCAAACAATGCAAAGTATATTACATCATTTTTCTTAATTGCATGTATATTACAATGCATGCATTGATCACAATGCATGCATTGATTTAAGTATCACCAAAACCAAACGACCCCATTTGGGGAGAAGAGGGGAGAAAAATCAAATTGGTAAAGTAGCAGGTCAAGTCGAGTATATAAGTTGATTTTTTTAATATTTTTAATTAAATTTAATAACATGTAATTATTAAATAAAAATAAAAATATTGTGTGTCTCTTTCTGCTTAATTATTTGGCGCTGAGATATGCACTGAGTTGGAGACTAGTCAGCAAACTATCAACGAAGTTGACGGTTTATTAACACCATTAAAGTATCTAACGGAAATGACTATATTTGTCATACAACAACTAGAAAATCTAGCTATATGTGGTATTTCTCCAAAATTGGCTATTATTGTCACAAACACAAATGTTTTGACTATACAAGTGTATTTTGCCTATATATCAACTTATCATACTAGCAAAATACAACCTAATTCTTTTGCTCGAGACTTTGTTCGCTTGCTGGAGATGTAGACCAATGAGGAAACTACTCCATGATTGACCTAGTTTTGGATATACAAGTGGTATTTCGGGAAATTTGGATATTATTGGCACAACCGTGAAAGTTTTGGATATACAAGTGTATTTAACCTACTTTTTTTATTGTGAATTTTTTTTATATTTTTATGATATTAACTGAACTAAGGTTTTTTGCAGATGACATTCCAAAAGTTCACGCTTGGGTTACGGTGGAATGGTTACACGGAAGATACCGGAAAGGGGGTCACCTACGTCGGTGGCAGTTTTCAGAAAAAAAGGTCGCTACCAGACCGATGCTTGAAGACCTCTATCAAATGTGTACTAACGTTACTTGCATGGATGGCACGAGAAAAGTTGATCGTATGGTGTATCGATATCCAAACAGAGAAGGCGGGTCGTTGTGGCACGAGGAATATGTCATAACCACTCAGGATGAAGTAGTTGTCATGCTCGAATTCTTGAGGTCCAACAATCTTTCCAAAGTCGAGATGTTCTTTTACACCGAGGCGGTCGTAGGCGTTGGAGGTCATTCTAGAGACGGTCAAACATGTGGTATCTTTGGTGGAGGTGAATTATAAGGAGATCATCCCTACCAAAGTTACCATGATCCTCATTCCTATTTTCGGTACCAAGAGCAAGGTGAAGGTCATCATCAATCTTTCCCGCATATGAAGAAGAAGTTCAACCGGACC